GGTGATTATCGATAAGTATGTACTTATTGCCATTGCAGACTTTAGATTCATGGTTACCTAAGGTTCAAGGTTAACTTCCTTACTATCTAAGAGTCTAACTTAACTCACCTAATATGCTATTAGAAACACAATCTAAGGGTTCTTTTCTTTTTCTCCTCCTTTTCCTTCCTCCTCCATTCTTTATATATTATATTCTGCACTCTTTGTCTGTACCTTGATTGGCTTTGGGGATAGTTGATTTAATTTTGCATTTGCTTAGTAATTAAGTGTTCTATTTTCTTTACTGTGGTTTTATTACCTGTGGTGACAGCCATTAAACCTTAGGAACACTTCCATCTATTGCAGTCCCTCCAAAATAGACTGTAGAGGTGGTTTGTGGGAGGTAAATTCTCTCAGCTTTTGCTTATCTGTAAATTGTTCAATCCCTCCTTCAAATTTAAATGATAATGTTGCCGGATAAAGTAATCTTGGTTCCAGGCCCTTGTGCTTCATTGCATTAAATACATCATGCCACTCCCTTCTGGCTTGTAAGGTTCCTGCTGAGAAGTCTGATGTTAGCCTGATGGGCTTTCCTTTGTAGGTGATCTTATTTCTCTCTCTGGCTGCTTTTAACAGTCTGTCCTTATCTTTGATGTTTGCCATGTTAATTACTATATGTCTTGGTGTTGTCTTCCTTGGGTCCCTTGTGTTGGGAGATGTGTGGATCTCCATGGCCTCAGAGACTATCTCCTTCCCCAGTTTGGGGAAGTTTTCAGCAATTACCTCCTCAAAGACACTTTCTACCCCTTTTTCTCTCTCTTCTTTTTCTGGTACCCCTACAATATGGATATTATTCTTTTTGGATTGGTCACACAGTTTTCTCAATATTCTTTCATTTTTAGAGATCCTTTTTTCTCTCTGTGCCTCAGCTTCTTTGTATTCCTCTCGTTTAATTTCCATTTCATTTATTTTCTCCTCCACCGTATCCAACCTGCTTCTAATACCCTCCATTGTGGTCTTCAACGATTAGATCTCCAACCGAAATTCATTCCTGAGTTGTTGAATATTTTTCTTTACCTCCTTGAGTATGTTAATGATTTTTATTTTGAAATCCCTTTCAGGAAGATTTATGAGATCAGTTTCATTTGAATCTTTCTCAGGTGTTGTATTCATAATTTTACTTTGAACTAGGTGTCTTTGGCATCTCATATTTGTATATGGCGCCCTCTGGTGTACAGAAGCTCTACTCTCTGGAGCTGGTCAGCCCCTGAAGCAATATTGGGGGTTGCAGGGGAGCTGTATTGGTGCCTGAGGGGAGGGAAGAGCTGTTTCCTGCTTCCCCGCTGCTATGCCTGCCTCCACTGCCACAAGTGGGCCGAGCACACAGGTATAAACCTCTAGGCTTTGTTTTTGTAGTTGCTGTAGACAGGGCTTCCCTCTGGCTGGCCTAACACCAGGGTAGGGTTTGCTGGTTTGTGAGCCAGGTGGGGCTAGCCCGGAGAAAGGCACAGCAGGCCGCATATCAAGGAGGGGGTCCCTCGAGCTGTGCAGCCAACCAAGGAGCTGGAGCACCCAAAGATTGAGAAAGTTCCCAACCTGCTGGACAGAGCACACCTGGAAAATTTTGTCCACCTGTCCTTTCTCTTGAGCAGTATGCTGTGTGGAATCCTTGCCCCTTTAGCAGCCCTATATTTAGGAAGTCTCTCAGACTTCCAGCTTTTCTTTTGTCCCAGAGCTGCTGGATATGGATCCCTGCTTTCCACAAGCAGCTGGAATCTCAGTCTCTCCAGGTATTCTGCCTGTTTTAGCTTTCCAACCCCCTAATAATGAGAGTACTATGAAAGCACCATGAAATGTAGGTTTGTGCTCCCAGCGCAGATCTCCAGAGTTAGGTATTCAGCAGTCCCAGGCCTCCACTCCCTCCCTGCTCCGTTTCTCTTCCTCACACCTGTGAGCTGGGGTGGGGGAAGGGCTTGGATCCAGCTGGGCCTTGGCTTTGGTACATTACCCTGTTCCATGATGTTTATTCTTTTCTCCAGGTGTATGCAGTTTGGCACAGCCCTCTTTCCTGTTGCTCTTTCAGGATTAGTTGTATTAATTATATTTTTGTATTATATGCTGTTTTAGGAGGAAGCCTCTGTCTCACCTCTCACACCATTATGTTTAATCCTCTCCTATCTAAACATTTAAAAAAATGTATTGGCCCAGGCAGTATGTATTTGGTGTTCTTATAAGATTTATTGCAAACTATTCTTAAAGGTTTAAGTAGAATTTTCAGGATAAAACTGCTGAATTGAACAAAAGTTTGAGTTACACAGCTCCTCTGCCTCCTCTGGTACAATCACTTCAAGTAGGTGAGTCATGGTCCTCTGCCTTCGCTGGTGCCGACGGCGAGAGAAAGTCCTGAGATGGACACTTGGCACTGGGAAATTGGTACTATTAACCACAGCCCATGACTCATTCTTGTGACAGCAGCACCTCAGGGACCCTGGGGCCTCTGGTCTGGGGCTCACTGCCATTGTCTTGTGAAATCTCTCTCCTGTACTGGGGGATGTGAAGTCACCAAAGCCACAAATTCAGAGATTTAAAAGATTGGTGAGAACATGGTAGTGCTGATAGCCAGACAGAAGGAGAGTGGGGGGAGTGGCTGCAGGGATCCACCCCAGAGATCTGCCCAGTTAAGGAAGGTACTTGCCTGACTGAGGAAGGCAGGTGGGAAGACACCCCCTACCCCCCACCCCCCGTGCAGCTCAGGTTAGGGCAGTCTTCTTTACAGCAACCACTACAGACAAACTACTTGTGTATTGTTTAATATTCCTCTTCCCTACTAGACCAGTGCCTCCCCTACCCTCACCAGGGGACATTTGTATGACAATGTTTTGGGTTGTTGCAACTAGGGAGGGGTGTGGCACTGGCATCTAGTAGGCAGAAGCCAGGGATGCTGCTAAGCATCCTACAGCACAGGCCTCCCCAAAAAACGAATTAGCCCACCCAGAATGACAACAGCACCAAGGTCGAGAAACCCAGCTTTGGACTAAAGTTCTCGAAGATCCATCTGCCTCGTTCAGCACTTTATCCCCAACACCTAGCTGGGAGCCTGACATAAAAGGAGGTTCTCAGCCTGCATTCACTGAACACAGATAAGCCAGGCCTTCCTGTTTTTCAGCTGTTTCCCTGAAGTTACTGCTTAGGAACCAATAGGCACCCTCAACCCTGTGCACACTGCCCAGGACCTATTATTTCCACTGCTTGAACATCACTAACCCTACTTCTGAACTGCAGATGCCTGTGACCTGAAAACATCATTAGGAAGGGTTTACATTCCTTCTTCTCTTATCTCCCCACTCTCTCTCTACATCGAGATCTACATGTATATAGCTTTGCACCTGCATTTTTGAGAAGGGAATAAATAAAAGCGTAGGCATTTTTCCTTTCCTTATACCTCATATTTTGGTATAGTGATGAGCTCTATTGAATGCGGTCTTAGCAGCAGTAATCATTGGATTTATTTTCAAGGATAGCCTGCACTTCGTGTGTGTGGGGGTGATGGAAGAGAGGGGGTTTCCAACATAATGAGCATTTTTTAATGGAAGTAGAGTTAATATAGAATATTATGTTAGTTTCAGGTGTACAACATACTGATTCAACAATTATATACATTACAAAATGGGCACTGCAATAAGTGTAGTTACCACAATGAGCATTTTTAATGCAATTTGACCACCTTTTAGGTTGTATGGAGAATGTTTATCTTTTTGAGGAGATAATTCTAGATGGCTCTGGAAGTTCCAGCAGAGAGCTGGCTCAGTGGAACTGTGTTTAGCCCATCAAAAGAGCAGCCTGAACTCTGGAGTGCTCCTTTCATCCCTTTTTCTAACAAAGCCACTTCCTGAACCAAGGAGCTTACATTGTCTCACAGTGGCAAAGATGCTCGGCCCCAGCTTGAATAAATGTGTGGAATATTACAGGGTGGGGTGTGTACAGTCCAGCTCTGCCTGGCACACACTCAACTCACAGTGGCATGATGAGCGTTGAGGGCATTGTGCATGCTCAGCTCTTCTCTGGACGAACACACTGTAATCATTTCTTTTGCTCCCTTAGAAATTCGCATGCAACCTACCCACTAGAAAGGGGAGCAATTCATTTAAGCAGCTCTAGGAATTGACCAAATTGCAAGTTCTTATCATGTTAAAATCATTGTTTTAAATTATTATTCTCTGTGTTACATGATTCAGTTGAAATTGCCAGAGAGCAGGAGGAAGGGTACTCATGAATGTGTATGTAGCGGGGAGTGAAATGTGCATGTACATATTATTATGTTCTTCTGATGTGTGTTTCTGTTGACTTTTTTAACAAAATTAAGTGTTTCGTTTTTACTGTGAAACCCTAAGAAATAGCCTTATGCCTGTTCTCCGGATGTTTTTGAGGATATTGCTCATTACATTACGCAGTAAGCTCTTTATGGACTCCTGAGAGCAATTTATTTCTGATCTAGGACTCAAGAATAATTATGATTCCCCTGAGTTACTGGTTTATTTTCTATGTTAGGGACAATAAGTATATGACTGATTGGGTTTTGTTTGAGAATTGTTAGAATGTTTAGAGCCATCTTACTACACTGATGGATAGTGGCTGCAATGGGGTATGGGGGGAACTCGATAATAAGGGTGAATGTAGTAACCACATTGTTTTTCTTGTGAAACCTTCATAAAAGTGTATATCAATGAAACTTTAATAAAAAATAAATAAAAGAATGTTTAGAGACAAACTTATTGCCCACTCGTATACAGCAAGGGTTGAAAAGTTCACTGTAGACTCAATCCTGATTGACTCCATGTCAGGATGTCCAAATTATTTTTCGTGTATCTTTTTTATCTACTTCAAACTTATCATTTTTGTTCCATGTATCCCGCTAAACATCCAGAAATGTTTTTGGTAGAAGGTAAGGGTTTAAAGAAGTAATTGTGTTATCATAGGCCATCAGAAATCAGGCTTATTGGCTTCTTTCTATTCCTTTCCAGATTGAGATGCTTCCAGATGGGCTGTTTCAATGCAAAAAGCTGCAGTGTTTACTTTTGGGGAAAAATAGCCTGATGAGTTTGTCCCCTCACGTGGGTGAGCTCTTGAACCTCACTCACCTGGAACTCATTGGTAATTACCTGGAAACACTTCCTCCTGAGCTGGAAGGATGTCAGTCCCTGAAGCGGAGCTGTCTGATCGTTGAGGAGAATCTGCTCAGTACCCTTCCTCTCCCTGTAACAGAACGTTTGCAGACATGCTTAGATAAATGCTAACCTAAAGAGAAAATAATCTTTGAAAGGATGCCCCAGGGTGTTAAATGAGAACTGAAGTTTCCTAAGTTATAAAGGTGAAAAATGGGTATAATTATGACTAACTACAACCAAATGTCTTATTAAAGCAACTCAGTATCTAGCTTAAACAGGATGAACAGTGTCAACACTGAAGTTTTGTGAATAATTGATTTTTAACTTATTGAGACGTAAGAAGTATACTTTGGGGGTGGAACGGGAGACATGAAATCCCTGAATCTCCATGTTGCAGTTCTTACCTTGAAGCTTAGCTACTCTTTTCCTCTCCCTCCCCCATGCCCCATTTCTTACTTGCACATTTGTTTTAACTGACTTCCTGTTTTGAAATTTATCACCTAGACCATAAACTCATCAACATAAATTCCCTTGATGTACACTCAGCACTGTCTTTGATTTATGTTTTTAAATATTTTTAGGCAGGGTGCATTGTGCTTGTAAGAATTCCTTCTCGGCTTAATTTTTACTTCCTGTCTCAGCTTGCTTACATCTTCCTTCAATGTTGTTTTCTCCTAACAACAGAGATGAACCCTGAGAAAGTGCCGGCTTTTGGCCTTTGTGTAGAACAAGAGTAGGATACTTAGGACATGTCACTCACCCTCAGGGCTTCCTGAAAATTAATGTATTCTCTAAAATGTCTTCTTGTGTATCGTCAAGGCTTTTTTTATTTGCTCATAGTTTATATAGTAAATGTAAAACATATACATATTTTCTATTATATAATCTTGGATTCAAAATCTGTGAGAAATTTTGTAACGTACAGGGAACACGTGCATTTCTTCAAGAATTTACAATTAATATACTTGGTTTTGGCTGCTTCTATTTCTCATATTTGTGTGCATTCTGTTCCAAATGTTTTTTATTCTGCCACTATTTACTTTGGATAACAAAAGCCTTGTGTCTTGTGCCCTAGAATATTTGGGGAGTTTCCTATATAAGAGGATGGCTGCATCATCTACCTCTCTCTTCCCTCGTTGCTGTGCTATTGTACGGGTACTATCCTTAATTACTTCAAAAACTGTGATGGAGGGGAGAGGTACAGATTTGGATCTTTAAAACTGGTTTTTAAACTCTTTGTAAAAGAGTTAAAGCAAAATATTTTCTCCATGTGCATGATCTCTAGATATGATTATAATGTAAAACACTCAGCCTCCATTCAGTATTTAAGATGGGTTCTCAAAGCTCACAGAGAAGTAGATCCATTTAACTGAAATTCATCTCATGACTTTGAGTAATTTTTCTGGAATACATTTTGCTCTTTTTTATAAAGAGCTTTGTGTTTGGCCTTTTGTTATCATGCATACTGTAAAGTGAACAAAATTGACGGACTCATTTTTGAGAAATGTATACTTTTAATGTGATTTTCTCTAATGGGTCTAGGCGTTATAATGCCATCTCATTTTGGGTGTAACTATGAAGTAATCTAACTGCATCTGGATAAAACTGGAAAACACTATAGGTAATGAGCACTGTAAACAGGGAGTTGTGATGCGTGGTATGTTTTTCTTGCTTTACTTGTTCCACAAAGATGAAAGTGAGTCTTTAAACTGTAGCAAAATGTAGCTTCTCTCCCCAGCCACACACCCCTGGACTAAAGCTCTGAAAAAAAGAATTGTTTATGTTAAATGAAATTTGCATAATATTAACTATAAAAAACATAAAACACCAAAAGCTGCCTAAAACATTATCATTTATTATGAATTAGAAGAACCAGTGTAAAAATACAATCCTCACCAAAACTTGCCTTTAGTCAAAACTTTGAAGTTCTCAGGGACCCAGGCATAACTGACGGAATTCAGAAAATAGATTCTGACTATATCTAGGGACTATATTTTGGTTTTTTTAATGTGAGTTAATGGTCAGTATTTCACAACAGAATTGTCATGTGTACTGATTTCAATGTTACATAGGATTATCCTGTTTTGGATGTGAAAATGATACATGGATAGGTGTTTAAATGTTTTTGGCCATAGAATTAGCCATAATTTGTATGAAAAAATCCCATCCTCTCCTATAAATTTCAAATTTGCTAACATTCCCCTCACAAACTAGAACTTCTCCATGACTAATCATTAGTTCTATTCACCTGCAGAAATCATTGGTTAAATCTTTCTTAATCAGAGCTCTCAGTTTCTGGAAACACATTACTATCAGGATCATAAATGAATATTATAAGCTGCTTTCCAAACACTATAGTTAGTGGTTCAAACTCTGCTGTTCTTGATGCCATAATTTTTAGATTATTTTTTCAATTGTACACATGAGTGTTTAGGTAGCTTTTGAAATGACAGAGCTCTGACGCAGTGAACTCTGAGACCATCGATTTGACATGCAAGAATGTGTTGATGCCACCTCTGCTGCACTGTTGTAGCTGATCTTCATAATATCTAAGAGGATTTTATATGAAGAAAATGAAGTTTGTTCATGATAATCATGAGACTCTTGTTGGCATTTGATTTTGAAGAACATGAAGTTTATTTTCCAAAAAATAAATGTCAAAGTTTTCAGAACAAAGTTGATGGCTTATGCTGGCAACCTTTGGTTCATTTTATTTACATGCACGCGCACACACACACACACACAGATAAGCTTGCACACATATAGACACACACCCTTATATATGTAGTAGGTAACTTTCTAGCTTTGGATGTTCAGTATTTTTTCCAAAGTAGCTAGAGGTTGTCAGTTAATGCTAGGATGTTCTTTTATACTCATTACTAGTAATCATGGAGTGTTCTATTCTCTTTGTTATAATATTTAAAAGAAAACTGAATGCTCAGCCTTAGTCTGAGAACCGAAGCAGTTTTGAGCTTCCCTGGAAAGACACAGTGTTCTCCCCCTAACTGCCAGCAGGGTACATTTATGTGGCACATAGACACTATGTTTTCATTCTTCATCCTCAGTCTTAACTTTTCCCCCAGGTGTCACCATATTTCACTGTCACTTAACAAATGTTTGTGTTAAACAGGGTAAATAGAGATCCCCCGGGATCTTGGCACTGTGGTGTAGCTCCAGTTAGTGTGCTGTGGTGAGCTGCAGAAAGTTATTTGCATAACATTATCATTTGATAGTGAAAATACTTGTTTCTGTTCTTCATGTGTTCCATGATTCAAATTTTGTATGTTTAATGAAAATACTGCATAGTATTGGAAACCATTAAAATAATCAACAGTTATTCTGTGGATTTCTAGCTTTCTTTCCTTGTGTTTTCAATAAAAGGCTCTTTCCATCTGCTTAGCATTGTTCTATCCTCTGAGGTATTGTGTTTTCCCTCATCACTCACTCCCCTCCTTAAATGTGATCAGCACTTGTATAGTAACATATATTTGTGCTAGAGAACCTGCAGTGATACTTGGGCATGTGTTTATTTGAGGGGAAGCCAGAGCCTCTAATTATGCCTCTCATTATTTGTTTAATGAAAATACTGCATAGTATTGGAAACCATTAAAATAATCAACAGTTATTCTGTGGATTTCTAGCTTTCTTTCCTTGTGTTTTCAATAAAAGGCTCTTTCCATCTTAATCTGCTTAGCATTGTTCTATCCTCTGAGGTATTGTGTTTTCCCTCATCACTCACTCCCCTCCTTAAATGTGATCAGCACTTGTATAGTAACATATATTTGTGCTAGAGAACCTGCAGTGATACTTGGGCATGTGTTTATTTGAGGGGAAGCCAGAGCCTCTAATTATGCCTCTCATTATGCCTAATTGAGTAGTTCTGCTTTACCCATCCCTGCAGTATTCAGAGCTGATCCACTGTCCCTCAACCAACCAAAAGCATGAGCATATAACTCTAAGTCCACTTCGTTTTCAGGAAGTACATTGCATCAGAATCTGTTTTTATTTCTTCATGGAAACAAGGGGAAGGCTGGTGGGAGAGGGGGAGAAGTTATTTTGCATCCTAGTTTGAATTATGAAGACATTATATACATGAAATGGCATAAACTAATAACTGTTGCAAAATGCCCTGGACATACTTATTTCTTATCTACAGCTGGATATGAAAGCTGAAACTGTGAAAAAACTGCTGTCCTATTTAATTGGTTTCTTCCTGTTTCTGGTCTCCCACTTCCACTGGGAGCTATCTTCTAAGTCTCTTTGGTAATGGACTACATTCTCTTCCACTGGTTTTTACATGAACAATGTCATCAGTGCTAAAGCATTAATACAGAGTATGTGAGCCAAACTGCCGAGATGGCTTCAAGTTGAACTGAATTCATAGAGAAGTTTTGCATTTGACTTGTATTAGATGCTACTGCTGAGAAAAACATTTATGAATGCCTCCTGCATGTTATATATTATCTCTAACAGAGATGGTGCAATTAAGAAAAAATACAAAGAAGCATAGAAGTAGAATGGATGTGTTTGTGTATATATATGTCATGTATAAACCAAAATATTTACGTCTATTTTTGAAACTCTTCAAATGTTTCACTCACTCAAATAATGGGGCCAGTCTTGAGACATTTCCTTTGGGTGGCTTCACAGGAAAGGCTAGTATTTATTTTATCTTTGTCACATATTTTGAAACACGTACATAATCAGTTTTTGCTTCTGGTAATGAATTATTAGAAAATGTAAGATTTTGTTATGAGTTGAATGTTTTTGGCCCTCAGGTTTACCATGTAAATCTGCATTTTGGTGGTAAAAATCCTTTGCCTGAGATTTAGTAGTTTTTGGTAAACTTTCCTGTTTTTAAAGTATCTTTTGTGTAAAATAAAGATTCCATTTTTATAATAAATGACAAATAAAAACATTAAACATTGGAAGTGGACTGTACTAATTTTTACATGTGTACATTTACAGTGCCCAGGCTCCAAAAGTGATTCTCTTCCTCTTCCATAGTTCCCTGTGCAGTTGTGCTGTTATATTATTTACCAAGTGATAGATTACAGATTTACACATGAATCTCATAAGAGTAGTATGAGTTTTCAAAATATACTGCAATGGTCACAAAATAGGAAATACCCAAAAAGAGCTGGATTGACCCTAGAATACACTGGAGCAGGGATCTGTCACAATCCTAATAGGTCCATCTTTCCAATAGTGATCATCCTTGGGAGCTAATGTTGATAAACCAACCATCTCTCTTCCCTGTCTTCTTCTGGACTCTTGCTTCTCCAATTACTGTTAGTTTAACACTAACGTTGAATAGTGGACAAGATAAATAAAAAGTAATGAACTGCAAGACAACATTTTGAGAAGGTTTAATAAAGGGGTTAAACATGGAATTGGTAAAATGGGCATATGATAGTAGGGCCTTTTGAATAAAGACTTTCATCTCTCACACACACACACACATGTACACACACACTTTCAGGAACACATTAGAAAGCAGATACGCAACTTTTTCTCTGCTGGAGGACAAAACTCAATATATACTGAACCAGGTTTTAAGGGAAAACTAACTGCTGAAACCAGATGGCCATATTTTTTCCTGTAAGGGTGATGCTTTAAGAAAGGCTTTCACCTACCTCCAGCTGCCTCAGGAATGGGAAATATATTGAGGAAAGGAAAACCAGTGCCTGACTAAGGCAATAGCAGCCATTCAGGGACTGCCAGGTGCTTTGGGCTGCTAGAGTTCTGTGCCAACAGCCTACAGGGCAGAGATGTGCCCCAGGAGCATGGCAGTAGTGTGGATTCATGTTCTTCAGTGTTTGCTTCCACTTTGCAAAATGAGTTTTTGAACATGCTGAGCAGGGCCTGCTGTGGAACAGAGAGGCCACATTGGCAGGGCTGAGGGCACGGGTCCCTAGTATCTTTTGTGTAAAATAAAGATTCCATTTTTATAATAAATGACAAATAAAAACATTAAACATTGGAAGTGGACTGTACTAATTTTTACATGTGTACATTTACAGTGCCCAGGCTCCAAAAGTGATTCTCTTCCTCTTCCATAGTTCCCTGTGCAGTTGTGCTGTTATATTATTTACCAAGTGATAGATTACAGATTTACACATGAATCTCATAAGAGTAGTATGAGTTTTCAAAATATACTGCAATGGTCACAAAATAGGAAATACCCAAAAAGAGCTGGATTGACCCTAGAATACACTGGAGCAGGGATCTGTCACAATCCTAATAGGTCCATCTTTCCAATAGTGATCATCCTTGGGAGCTAATGTTGATAAACCAACCATCTCTCTTCCCTGTCTTCTTCTGGACTCTTGCTTCTCCAATTACTGTTAGTTTAACACTAACGTTGAATAGTGGACAAGATAAATAAAAAGTAATGAACTGCAAGACAACATTTTGAGAAGGTTTAATAAAGGGGTTAAACATGGAATTGGTAAAATGGGCATATGATAGTAGGGCCTTTTGAATAAAGACTTTCATCTCTCACACACACACACACATGTACACACACACTTTCAGGAACACATTAGAAAGCAGATACGCAACTTTTTCTCTGCTGGAGGACAAAACTCAATATATACTGAACCAGGTTTTAAGGGAAAACTAACTGCTGAAACCAGATGGCCATATTTTTTCCTGTAAGGGTGATGCTTTAAGAAAGGCTTTCACCTACCTCCAGCTGCCTCAGGAATGGGAAATATATTGAGGAAAGGAAAACCAGTGCCTGACTAAGGCAATAGCAGCCATTCAGGGACTGCCAGGTGCTTTGGGCTGCTAGAGTTCTGTGCCAACAGCCTACAGGGCAGGGATGTGCCCCAGGAGCATGGCAGTAGTGTGGATTCATGTTCTTCAGTGTTTGCTTCCACTTTGCAAAATGAGTTTTTGAACATGCTGAGCAGGGCCTGCTGTGGAACAGAGAGGCCACATTGGCAGGGCTGAGGGCACGGGTCCCTTGTCTGGAGCTGCAGCTCTGTTTGGGTTCTGTCCCCATTGCTAGATTCTCTGAAATCCAGGGCCCTAGCTTGCTTGTCTGTTCATCTCATTCCTGAGGTCTCGAGAAAAGCCATTTATCTAAAGGCACAGTCACAGGAACTCACACCCTGTATTTCCAGAAGAAAATAAAATGCATATGCCAAAGAAAAATCAGAAAAATGTTATTTTTTAACATGTCTTTTTTTAAAAAAAATACAAATCTCTCTTTGCCCTGTGTTGTCTTATCCTTTAGATGAGCTGTAAGTCCTGCCTCCTAAATACCAATGATTCTGTAGAACTGCCTTGTGCTACTGAGAAGCTTTTCAAATTATTTCTTATAACAAATACCTTAAATGTTGGATGTCTTTTTACACAGGCCTATTGTTTGTTCGGGTAAGGCTCAATATACCATTTTTTACTCTCTGCCTCCCTCTGCTGCTGAGATAAGAATCAAAAGCTTTCCCAGATTGTATTTTCTCCCTTTTTTTTCACTTTCTCCTTGCCTTGTCTTTAGTAAATGTAACCCCCAAGGTAAGATTTTGAGAATTCAGTCATGCTCACTTATCTGTGACTCCATCTCAAATGAGATGCACTTAGCTCCATGCAGTGTTCCTGGTACCTGGACCAGACTGGACATGTGGCTGCCCTGGAGAGGTAAGAATGTGGCACCCCTTTAAAAACATACTTTATTTATTCAATATGTATCTGGTAGAGATAGGGGAACTGGTTTTCTATTTGCAAAAATAATGAATCCCTACATCAGCTGCCTGATTATTCCCTTCTCCAAAAGCAAAACTCACAAGAGTGAGGCAGCACTTAAAGAAGATTGAGCCAGGCAGGTGCGAGGAGGGGCTGGCTGTAGGGTGCATGAGAGTTCTCAGCTCAGGCAGGTCTGTCCAGCATCCCCAGGGGACAGTCTCTTCCCCCAGGCCTCATGAGCAGGTCTGTAAGTTGCTGGGTCTCCCTTTAGTATTTCCTCCTCCAATCTCCCTACACAATTTCCCTTCTCTCTCTACCCCCACTCCCTCTGATCTCTCTCCTCTCTCTCATTCTCTCTGGCTGTGCTGTTTGGTGTCCTAACTACACACTCCAATCTTAAATATCCTCCCCATCACTAAATCCCATCTTTGAGAGTATTAAATACCCATCATCCCAAGGGTGATGTTTTAGTTTGTGCTCACCAAAAGAAATGTCCTTCAGTTATCAATATTCTGCCTTCCCAGTGTCACAATTCAAATTCCAAATAAGACACTTACTCAGTGTGCTGCATGGACCGATTTGCAATTCCATAGGCTGGTAACCTAAGGAATTGCATATGCAAACTTGACTTAACTGGTCTCCAATTTCTGATTATTCCAATGACATTTGGTGTTCCTTGTAAATTAGTGTCCCAGGAAACTGTGTAAACCCAGGGGTACCAAATGCTACCCGTGTGAAGGAAGTTTCCCTTCACCTATCTCTGAACTGGGTTTGGATTTGCTTTCTTGTCTTATTGACTCTGTGATGTTCCACAGAGAATGACTTAGATCATTCTGGGGCGACCAGAGCAGTTCTGTCATGCTTTTCAGAATAGACTGAGCCAGTCTCAGGCAATTGCTCTGTGCAAAGGGAAAGCCTGAACAAGTCACCAAGTGAAGGGGAACTGACTCCATCTGCACTAAGAGGAAAGGCTGCTGGGTTTGCGCTAATTGGTCAAAACAGTGCATCAGAAACCTGATTAATGGCTTCATAGTGAGAAAAGATAAAAATCTAATTATTCCATCTGTGCTCCTTCACCTTGGAGTCCGTCTCTGGAGGGAAACAGCTGTGGAATACAACAGTATCCTTACTTAGCAGGGGCTACATGCCAGGTAATCTGCTTGCTTCTTTACGTGTGCTAGCTCGGTCTATCCAACAAACTTGGTGGGTGTTATTCCCATTTTATAGATGAGAAAACAGTCTTAAAAATCCTAACTTTTCCAAGGTCTCATAACTGTTCAGAAGAGGAATCCTATTCAACCTGAAGGTCTGCAAAGCTTGTTTCTTCAGAGGTTTAGGTAAACACAACACCAGCACTTCCTCTCTCGCCCACCTTGGTGTTGGAAGAGGGGCAAATCCCACACCAGATTTCAGAGCTCACTGGTGTCTTCCCATTGGCTTTAAGCCCGGTGCTTCCTCCTGCTCCGTATCTGTCCTAGCTTGTTTCTGAGCCAGTGAGTCACATCCCTAATGCAATTCCAGAATTGCCGAACTTTCTAACTGGAAGGCTTTCTAACTATGGAGGCTTTTCTGAGGAGGAAGGTGGAAGTGGTTTGTTGGAGATCACAAACCCAATGTCTGTGGGAGTATCTTTTCACCTTCTGGGCTGGTTCTAAGGAGCACAGATCATCTGTATTCAGCCAACGGCTAGTGGAAGGGCCAAGGCTAGCACTGAGGGTGCCTCCTGAACCCCAGGCTTTCTGTTTTCCCTAACAGGCTGCATTCACCTTAGTTACAGCCTGCACCGTGAGAATAACCCCTTCCTCTGCCCGGTGCATTACTGGGCACAACACACTTAGGCTCCTGATCCCATTTCACTTATAAGAAAACTAGGCTCTGAAAGAGCCATTTCAGCCATTTCATTATTGAGCACCTGCCACAAACTTTATAAACATCACTAATGCTTAAAGCATACCAAGGTAGGTGCTATCTATAGGAAAAGAAATAGGTCCAGGTAGGTTAAATGACATATTAGGGTATATATTAGAGGATATAGCTAGTATGTGGCAGAGTCAGGCTTTGAATTGGACACTATAGCACCAAATTTCTGCTTTTTGTATAGTGCATCCTGCCAAAGGCACACGGCAAGTGAGTGATGGGGTTGTGAGCACAGGCTAGGATTTTGACATCTATTTCAGTATTCTGTCCATTATAATAGGCAGAATCTGGATATTCTGCAAAAGAATTGATATGCCTGCAGGCACACGTGTATATACAAACACACCTTTAGTGTATGACTTCATCCAAAGGACTACTGTATTTCCAAACTTTAGTTATTTTTGAAAATGCATACTTTTTATTTTAATGTCCTAAACTAAGCTTTGAATACATTTACTCTCATTAGAAGAATGTGGTGGCATTCTGAATTTCAGACCCTATGGGAGATACTGGATAAAGGTCCTGTCCTGTTAAAAAGGATTGTTAACATTCTGGTCTTTGTTTCAAGATGCAGGTGAGACCCGCAGGCAGTCTGGGTTGTAGCACAGAATTGCCACTTCAGCTTAACCCCCTGAGAATCCTGATTTATTACAGGGAAAGGAGAGCAGACATTTCAGACTTGCAAAACGTCTACTCCTCGCAGTTCAGGCTAAATTCATTCTAAATGTGTTCTGCTGATTTAGACATTTGGAGAGAGAGGAGGGACAGGTTTTGCTGTCCTTACTGAATTCATGCCACGCTCCAGATAAGAAGCTGTGTTCCTCTCCCAAGCGGACAAGGTGTCCCTTCCTGGTTTTGCCTCTTGGCTCAAATGCACTGCTAATCATGGAAAAAGCCTTAACCCAAGCTCTAAGGACCCACTCCTTGAAGCACCACTTCACTTGGCATTTCCCCTTGGATTCTTCGAAATCCCTATCCTTTAAGGCAAGTCGTCCAGCTCAGCAGTCTCTGAGCCCCATTCACACAGTGGGACTGCAGCTCTCAGACCTCCCACCCCTCCACTGAGCTCTGCTAAGGAAAGGAAGGTGACCTACCAAGTGACTTTGCACAGTCTCATTAGCTGTTATTTATGTTCTTCTAGAAGATAAAAGAAATTGGCCCTTGTCTCTTTTTCTGGTGAGGAGGCTAATTCCTCCAGCTTAGAAAGAGTGCCCAAGAGAATTTTTTGCCAGGCTAGAAGTGAGTCAGGTGGCTTAGATGCTGCCTTAGATAATCAGCAGAGGTCCTGGCTGAGCCCATGGCTGGAGGGGCCCTCAAGAGAGTCACACGCTTCTCTGGATGAGCTGTGGCTCTGGGAATCTGGCAGTGCTGAGGTTGCCACAGGTCAGCTCAGGGAGAGAAGAAAGCATCCTTGTGTCTGGTGGGATTCATCATCAGCCCTTGTGACGCTGCCATTTCCAGTGGAATCTGCCTATGTAACGTGCTCAGGGGCCCAGCCTTACTGATCCTAATGAGAAGGTGAGGCCAGATGCTCTCTAGGGTGCCTGCCAGCTCCAATGTTCTGATGTACACGAAACACTCAGTGAGTGCGTAGTGTTGATCAGGGTTAATGAGTAATTTTCTTAAGAGCCTGAGAATGTCACACATTTAAGTTTTAGCTTTTGAAATGACTCATTTAAATGACATAGGAACAAGACCTTTATTCACTAAAGCACTTAAGGTACAAGAGCAAGTAAAGGGAAATGGAATTATTTTAAAGGGCTGTTCTGCCAGGCCTCTGCATCAGGAGGGCCAAGCGTGCAGTGAAGAGACGCTGTGTAGGGCAGGACAGACAGGAACATTGCCTGGAGGGCTTCATCTTGCTCAGGTTAGTTTCCAGTAAGGGGAAATGTCCTGAGGTTGCACAGGTAAGAACGTGACCTGCGAGGTGCTCTGCCGTCTTGGATTGTTACACCATAGCTTGACATCTGAGGCAGGTCCATAACCACTGATGGTGAGCCTGGAGTCTGACCTGGGGCCAACAAATGCCTCTAATGTGTCAGTTCTTTGGTTTCTGTTCCCTGGGGCATTGGGCTTAAGGGTCCAGTCAACTAACAGGCTCCCAGTTGGAGAGACGCACCTCCTGACTCCGGGGCACTGAGAGATGTCAGCTCCCTCCTGCATTTAGGGGACATTCCGCTGGGTGCCAGCTCCAAAGGCCGACTGTGTGCCCATCAGGCATTCCTCACCTGGGGGGTGCTGTCCTGGAGCATGAGCTGTGTGCCTCCTCTGTGCCCTGGCGCTCAGTTTCAGACAGTTCCAGGCCCAGACCTGGGCTCTGCTGAGTCTAGAAGGGAAAGTGTGACTGCTGTCCTAGGCACAGCCAGACCATCAGCGGGCTGCAGGGAAGGCACTGAGCTCCACCCTGTACTGGAGTCCTCTCTCCAACCAGTACCACTTGAGTAACGTTCTCTCTCTCAGCCTCAGCTTCCCCTTCTGTAAAATGTAAATTCTATTCTATGAATATTAATGCCTGCTCCTTCCCAGATGCTGACTTAGGTATCGAGGCTACAGAGGGATCAATGGGGACAAGACAAACAGGGCCCCGCTCTCATGGAAACAAACCTCACACAGTCTTCTTTGACAACATATATACCATCGTTCCAAGAGATGATGTAAAATGCTCAGCATGCTTTGTGACCCCAGCGGGTGTTTACACCAGGAGCTCTAATGAGGTTGTTTTCATTTCTTCCTCCATAGGTGGTAGAAAATCTTTTCAAACATGCCCTTGCCCACCTCGGTCTTTCTGCCTATAAGGCTCTTCCTTGCTCCCTCTGCCAGCTGACTCCTGCTCGTCCAGTCCTCAGGTCACTGGTCACCTCCTCAGGGTAGCACCTTCCTGCCCAGTTCATGCTCAGGCTGCCAGCTGTATGTTCCGTGGCAACTGGCACTCTACTTGAGGCGCCCACCACTCGGGTGATTCTCCTGTTTACCATCTGTGTTCCCGACTGGACTGCCAACCTGGTGTGGACAGCTTGCACATCTACCTAAAGTCTTGGCACCTGGCGTTGAGATCTCCCTAAACCTCTGGCCGGCTGACTAGCTGACACGTGAAGGGAATGTTCCCCTCTGAATGAGGAAAGTATACTGGACTAGCAAAGGTGAACCTGGACCTTTGGTAACACAGGGGCCCTTTCTTTCTTCTTTTTCTCTCTCCTATTGTGAAGAGGAGGAACAACCAGAAGACGGCTAAAAAAACAGGCCATGCCCTGGGCAGACCCACACATCCCTGGAAGCAATCAGGTAGCCGAGTCACAGAGCAAAGGATGGCACGCTGGGTCCTCTGTTATTAACAAGCATTTGTCCATCACCACTCCAGGGTTACTGCTGACAACAGGGCAGTAGGAGTTTTCTTTGACAACATATACCACAGTCACATACCCTTTTCTATTTTTCTAGCCTTTTCTGCTCTCCCACAGCCAGGCAGTGAGACTTAACAAGAAGAGGGGTTATCATTTGTAACTGTAGATGGAGGAAGCTTGGAGAAATGAAATTCAATGCCACATGACAAGATATGCAAGATGCCCCCAGCCTCAGTACTTTGAGAAAGAGACCTCAGTAAGCAGTCATTTATATATGACTCACTGGAAATGTTAATGAGCTTGCCCTTTTGTGCCCTCTGGGGTTTCACAAAGCAGCAATGCGACCTGACCCCAGTGGTTTTCTTTTGGCCAGAATCCAGACCCTCTGGGCAGTGCTGGACTTCCCACACGAATTCCTGCAGGCTCACCGCATGGAACCATATGGCAGTCCCCTGTGCCAGGCCTTTCCAAACTTCTGTGCTTTGCCCACGCTGTTCTCTCAATCAGAAGTCTCTTCCTTCGTACAAACATGGAAGATTACCTATCTATCATTTATCTATTAATCAACTACTGTCAACTCTCCATTCATTCTTCAAGACTAAAATGAAATATAATTTTGTCTCTTAACATTGTCTCAAGTTAGGTGCTCTTCTTCCTAACCCTGAGAACAATGCAGTGGGCTTATTTATAGATTTCCTCCTTACTGTATTGATGATGAAAACCAAATCTTGTCCATCTTTTTATCCCCTTCAACTAGTATAGTATCTGGCACATTGTAGATGCAGAATGAATGGAAGACAGAAATCCAGGCATTGGCAAATTGTGTCCCCGGGCCAGCGGGTCAACCAGAATGCCTAAGGGAAAGTGTATGTGCCATAAACTATGAGGGGGTATGAGTTTTGTGGACAGACTGTTAAAACAACAAAAAGTCATTGAAGGCTTGTGGACAAGGAAACTGCATGAGGAAGTAGATTTGGCACATTGAGTGTGTAATAGGTAGGAGGTTTAAAAAAAAAAGAAAATCTTATGCCCATTCTACAGATGAGAAAACTGAGGCCTGAGGAAGTTAAATGTTTTACCAAAACTCATACAGCTAGTAAGCAAAGAAATCTTGTTTAGAATTCAGATCTGATTTTAGAGTTTGAGTTCATAGGACTTACCCCAAAAAATCAACCAAATCTATAAATATCACCTTGCACGTGGGTCCCTGAGGTCCTCAGTGAATGTTCTTCCAGCTGTGTTAGGTTTCACTCCCAGAATGTCACTAAGCCTACTTCAATTTCCTCTTCAATAAAACAGTGAGCTAGGTGACTGTAAGGCCAGTTCTAGCTCTGAGTTGCTCTGATGCTCAGCAAAATACAAATGGATAATATTTGTATTCTACAACCCAATACAAATACAAATTTCCCAACCTGAAAATCGGCTCAGTCAAAACCTGTGTACTTGTGGACTGGCCCTGAAAATTTTTTCATGGGTTGCAATCATAACTCCAAATACAGCAAAGACTCTAAAATATAATCATAGAGGTCTAATCAGTCTTCCCGTTTAATTGGGAATTTAACATACGCCCAGGCACAGAAGTGTAACTGCTGGACTCACAGAAAGTGTCTGTTCATCTGCGTAGTCAGACTTAAGTCACAGCGAAGTTCCCACTCGCTCTCCATGGCCTCAGGGCCTTTACTCTCCCTGGGATTGTGTGTCACAATGAAATGAAGTTGAACGTCCACCTACCCAAACCTGTAGCATCCCACCCCATCACACACACACGGTTCTCTGACTTCAGGCTGAGTGTGCGGGTCGAGGGAGTCAAAAATGTCTGTGTGGTTCAGAACGAACTCTGAAATGGGAAGTTCCCTCCCAGGTCACTGAGCTACATCCTGTTGTTGTTTTCATCGAACCTATGCAGTAACTCCTTTGATTTGGCTTTCATTTGGGACAATGTGTCCAATGCCATTTTTCTGAAACATTCAGAACAAGATAAAATCTCATTCTGGTCAGCTACATAGAGTGGACTTTTGAGCATAAAGAAACATCTGTCCTCCATCTGCAGGGCCTAAAAAACAGCATTTTCAATAGAGGACATTGTAGGAAACAAGGCTTTTAAAGGGTAAGAAATCCATTTCTGACTCAAATCTCCATAAATATGTCCAACAGAATATTTCTATGTTACATACTGTTTTCAAGGAGAACTTCTAAGGCTGCTAGAGAAAAGGGCTTAATAAGAACATAATTTTTAGATTCAGTCAGACCATCAGCGGGCTGCAGGGAAGGCACTGAGCTCCACCCTGTACTGGAGTCCTCTCTCCAACCAGTACCACTTGAGTAACGTTCTCTCTCTCAGCCTCAGCTTCCCCTTCTGTAAAATGTAAATTCTATTCTATGAATTTTAATGCCTGCTCCTTCCCAGATGCTGACTTAGGTATCGAGGCTACAGAGGGATCAATGGGGACAAGACAAACAGGGCCCCGCTCTCATGGAAACAAACCTCACACAGTCTTCTTTGACAACATATATACCATCGTTCCAAGAGATGATGTAAAATGCTCAGCATGCTTTGTGACCCCAGCGGGTGTTTACACCAGGAGCTCTAATGAGGTTGTTTTCATTTCTTCCTCCATAGGTGGTAGAAAATCTTTTCAAACATGCCCTTGCCCACCTCGGTCTTTCTGCCTATAAGGCTCTTCCTTGCTCCCTCTGCCAGCTGACTCCTGCTCGTCCAGTCCTCAGGTCACTGGTCACCTCCTCAGGGTAGCACCTTCCTGCCCAGTTCATGCTCAGGCTGCCAGCTGTATGTTCCGTGGCAACTGGCACTCTACTTGAGGCGCCCACCACTCGGGTGATTCTCCTGTTTACCATCTGTGTTCCCGACTGGACTGCCAACCTGGTGTGGACAGCTTGCACATCTACCTAAAGTCTTGGCACCTGGCGTTGAGATCTCCCTAAACCTCTGGCCGGCTGACTAGCTGACACGTGAAGGGAATGTTCCCCTCTGAATGAGGAAAGTATACTGGACTAGCAAAGGTGAACCTGGACCTTTGGTAACACAGGGGCCCTTTCTTTCTTCTTTTTCTCTCTCCTATTGTGAAGAGGAGGAACAACCAGAAGACGGCTAAAAAAACAGGCCATGCCCTGGGCAGACCCACACATCCCTGGAAGCAATCAGGTAGCCGAGTCACAGAGCAAAGGATGGCACGCTGGGTCCTCTGTTATTAACAAGCATTTGTCCATCACCACTCCAGGGTTACTGCTGACAACAGGGCAGTAGGAGTTTTCTTTGACAACATATACCACAGTCACATACCCTTTTCTATTTTTCTAGCCTTTTCTGCTCTCCCACAGCCAGGCAGTGAGACTTAACAAGAAGAGGGGTTATCATTTGTAATTGTAGATGGAGGAAGCTTGGAGAAATGAAATTCAATGCCACATGACAAGATATGCAAGATGCCCCCAGCCTCAGTACTTTGAGAAAGAGACCTCAGTAAGCAGTCATTTATATATGACTCACTGGAAATGTTAATGAGCTTGCCCTTTTGTGCCCTCTGGGGTTTCACAAAGCAGCAATGCGACCTGACCCCAGTGGTTTTCTTTTGGCCAGAATCCAGACCCTCTGGGCAGTGCTGGACTTCCCACACGAATTCCTGCAGGCTCACCGCATGGAACCATATGGCAGTCCCCTGTGCCAGGCCTTTCCAAACTTCTGTGCTTTGCCCACGCTGTTCTCTCAATCAGAAGTCTCTTCCTTCGTACAAACATGGAAGATTACCTATCTATCATTTATCTATTAATCAACTACTGTCAACTCTCCATTCATTCTTCAAGACTAAAATGAAATATAATTTTGTCTCTTAACATTGTCTCAAGTTAGGTGCTCTTCTTCCTAACCCTGAGAACAATGCAGTGGGCTTATTTATAGATTTCCTCCTTACTGTATTGATGATGAAAACCAAATCTTGTCCATCTTTTTATCCCCTTCAACTAGTATAGTATCTGGCACATTGTAGATGCAGAATGAATGGAAGACAGAAATCCAGGCATTGGCAAATTGTGTCCCCGGGCCAGCGGGTCAACCAGAATGCCTAAGGGAAAGTGTATGTGCCATAAACTATGAGGGGGTATGAGTTTTGTGGACAGACTGTTAAAACAACAAAAAGTCACTGAAGGCTTGTGGACAAGGAAACTGCATGAGGAAGTAGATTTGGCACATTGAGTGTGTAATAGGTAGGAGGTTTAAAAAAAAAAGAAAATCTTATGCCCATTCTACAGATGAGAAAACTGAGGCCAGAGGAAGTTAAATGTTTTACCAAAACTCATACAGCTAGTAAGCAAAGAAATCTTGTTTAGAATTCAGATCTGATTTTAGAGTTTGAGTTCATAGGACTTACCCAAAAAAATCAACCAAATCTATAAATATCACCTTGCACGTGGGTCCCTGAGGTCCTCAGTGAATGTTCTTCCAGCTGTGTTAGGTTTCACTCCCAGAATGTCACTAAGCCTACTTCAATTTCCTCTTCAGTAAAACAGTGAGCTAGGTGACTGTAAGGCCAGTTCTAGCTCCGAGTTGCTCTGATGCTCAGCAAAATACAAATGGACAATATTTGTATTCTACAACCCAATACAAATACAAATTTCCCAACCTGAAAATCGGCTCAGTCAAAACCTGTGTACTTGTGGACTGGCCCTGAAAATTTTTTCATGGGTTGCAATCATAACTCCAAATACAGCAAAGACTCTAAAATATAATCATAGAGGTCTAATCAGTCTTCCCGTTTAATTGGGAATTTAACATACGCCCAGGCACAGAAGTGTAACTGCTGGACTCACAGAAAGTGTCTGTTCATCTGCGTAGTCAGACTTAAGTCACAGCGAAGTTCCCACTCGCTCTCCATGGCCTCAGGGCCTTTACTCTCCCTGGGATTGTGTGTCACAATGAAATGAAGTTGAACGTCCACCTACCCAAACCTGTAGCATCCCACCCCATCACACACACACGGTTCTCTGACTTCAGGCTGAGTGTGCGGGTCGAGGGAGTCAAAAATGTCTGTGTGGTTCAGAACGAACTCTGAAATGGGAAGTTCCCTCCCAGGTCACTGAGCTACATCCTGTTGTTGTTTTCATCGAACCTATGCAGTAACTCCTTTGATTTGGCTTTCATTTGGGACAATGTGTCCAATGCCATTTTTCTGAAACATTCAGAACAAGATAAAATCTCATTCTGGTCAGCTACATAGAGTGGACTTTTGAGCATAAAGAAACATCTGTCCTCCATCTGCAGGGCCTAAAAAACAGCATTTTCAATAGAGGACATTGTAGGAAACAAGGCTTTTAAAGGGTAAGAAATCCATTTCTGACTCAAATCTCCATAAATATGTCCAACAGAATATTTCTATGTTACATACTGTTTTCAAGGAGAACTTCTAAGGCTGCTAGAGAAAAGGGCTTAATAAGAACATAATTTTTAGATTCAGCCAGATCTGGTCCAAATACTTGTTCTGTTGTACTAACTGTGTGATCTTGGAAACTGACTTAACCCTGATAATTTTAGGTTTTCTGGGGGGTTAAAATAGAATCATAGTGCCTACCCCAGGAAATAATGTTTTTACTGTATCTACTGGCACACAGTAGAGCACTAAATAAACATCACGTGTTGTCCCCGCTTTGTCATTGCCGTTGTTAATGCTAGGGAAGAGTGGCTGGATTCCTGACACAGCTGAACAAACACAGGATTGGGAATTAGAAGACCTGTATTTGCACACCAACAGCACCACTCACTAGTTGAATGACCCTGGGGAAATCACCAAATCCTTCTCAACTAGGCTTCTTCATCTGTAAAACAGGGAAAATAAAAATAGCTAACTCACTGATAACAGCCTTGAGGTGCAAATGAGGTGATATATGGGTATTTACTTAGCCAGCCGAGAAACTGTGGGCAGTGCATTATTTTGCTAGTGTGGACTGAGTGCACGTCTCCCTCCAAAATGCCAGTGCTGAAACCCTGACCCCCAGCGTGACGGCAATAGGAGGCGGGGCCTTGAAAGGTAATGAGGTTAGGTGAGGTCATGAGGGTGGAACCCCATGAAGGGATTAGCACCCTTGCAAGAAGAGGAAGAGTCTAGCTGGGATTCCCCTTCTCTCTCTGTCTGTGATGGCGAGAAGCTGGCCGTGTACAAGCTGGGGAGAGGGCCCTCACCAAGAACGGAATCACCCAACACCTTGATCTTGGGCTTCCAGCCTCCAGGGCTGTAAGAAATAAATGTCTACTCTTTAAGCTGCCCAGTCTGTGGTATTTTGTTATAGTGGCCTGAACTGACTGAGGCAATACCACCACAAAATTGGAGAACGTATCCAGTTT